GGTGCAGTCCAGACTTGTGCTCAGATGGCCATGAGTCAGAATCAATGGCGCCTGCATGCCCCAGGAGGAGTATGGAAGAGTACCAGAGCTTTGTGCCTGTCCCTCCTCTCTAGGAGCACCCCAGGCTCAGGAACGCCTTCTTTCTACACACAAAGGCCACCACAAACACCCTACTCCTTCTGAAGTCTTCCTTCAGACAAGGAGATTCTGATGTCTCTATGAGCTGAGGGAAGGGATAGACACTGTGCATATTTTTGAGGATTTGTACTTCTAGGATATATTTTTAAACTATTGTCTGTTGTTTTGTTTTTGAGACAGGGTTTTGTTATATAATCCCATCTTCCTTTGAACCTACTAGAAAGTCCACATTGGCCTCAAATTCAAGATCCCCTGTTGCTTCAGCCTCCCAAGTGCCATCCAGTTAGGGTAAGCTTTTCTGTACCTTAAGGGTGACAGCTCCCCTGGAACAGTCAATCAACATATATTACCTGTCATCTGCCCTGTGTCAGCCCACAGGCAAAGATGCAGGAAAGCTCAGTTCAGGTCTGCGCCCCAAGTCAGCACTAAGGGAACAGAAAATAGTGGCATGCTCTCTGGGCTCAGGAAACAGTGATTACAGCAGACAGGACCCTCACACAGTGTAGCTTTCCAGGAGGAAGATTTGAACAATGAACAAGAGTTAGACAGGGAAGGCAATGGGAACATCTTGTGCAAAGGCCCAAAGGCAAGCTAAAGGGAGGAGTGGGGAGACATCAGACAGAAAACAAGGGCTTTTCCTCACAGCCTGGACCCCAGAGGAAAATATGACACATTGGTCCTGCTAGCTACTGTTAGTGAGATGCAAGCATGAGCTACATCCTGATGAGAGAGAAGAAGAGACAGAGAGAGAGAGAGAGAGAGAGAGAGAGAGAGATTGGGGGTGTGGGCCTGGCATGTGTTTTTGAAAGCTCAAAGCCCACTCCCAGTGACAGTCTTCCTCCAACAAGTCCACACCTCCTAAACCTTCTAATCATATCAAAGAGTTCTACTCCCTGGTGACTAAGCAATTCAAATAGATGAGCCTATGGGGGCCATTCTTATTCAGTCATTAAAGTGAGTCTAAATCCAATGAACTTGACAGTGAAGATTAATTACCACATCTTACTTTGGAGAGAAACACTGTTAATTCGTTTAACCAAAGCCTGAGACATAGAGTACCCTCTTGTTCTTGTGGGCTCCTTCTCCCACCCCCTCTGTGTGTCTGTCTGTGTGTGTGTGTGTGTGTGTGTGTGTGTGTGTGTGTGTGTGTGTGTCTGTCTGTCTGTCTGTCTGTCTCTCTGTGTCTCCCTGTGTTTCTGTCTTTTTCTATATTTCTCCCAAACACACAAAATAATGCTTCCAATTTATTTTTAAATTACATTATTTGTTTGTTTGTGTGGGCAATGTGTGACACGGCACCTGAGTGCAAGGTTCAGTAGACAACTTGTAGGAGTTGGTTCTTTCCACCATATACGCCCCAGGGATCCACCTCAGGTTGTCATCTGGCTGAACAGCAAGTGCCTGTACCTGCAGAGTCCTTTTGCCAGCCCCCAAATTCCTTAACATCTTATTTTCTGTTCTAGTTTGCCTTCTGTTGCTGTGATGAGCACAGTAACAAAAAACCACCTGGGGAAAAAAGCATTTATTTCAGTTTACACTTCCTGGTCACAGTCTATCACTGAAGTCCTGATTGATGCTCAGCTAGCTTTCTCACACAGCCCAGGCCCACCTGCCTAGGAATGGTACCGCCCACAGTGGACTGGGCTCTCCTGTATCAATCATCTACCAAACAGTCTTTCACAGACATTGCCGCAGGCCAATCTGAGCTGGGCAATCCTTTAAATGCAACTCCCTCAGTTGATTCTAGGCTATGCCAAGCCCACAGCTGATGCTAATTAGGACACATCCCCTTCATTCCTGTGTAGACCTAGACAAGACAATCAGAGTTAGGGGACCTCATCAGGTTCTATAGTAGTACTTTCTTGTTGGGACTGATAGCCCACAAATAATGACGTGGAGACTTGTTTTAATTATGAAAGCTTGGCCTTAGCTTAGCTTGTTCCTAAATAGTTCTTGTAACTCAAATTAACACATATTTTTTAATCTATGTTCTTTCACGGGGCTCATTACCTCATCTTCATACTGCCCAACCTGCTTCCTCCAAGTCTGGCAGATGACTCTGCCTTTCTTCTTCCAGAATTCTCTCTCTGCCCAGAAGTCCTGCCTATACCTTCTACCTACCCATTGGTTATTAAGCTCTTTATTACACTTATTACAGCAATATATCTGTATGCAAATATCCCACCACAAGATTCTTTCCTCTCCTGCACCCCAGGGACCCCAAGGAAAGCCTTCCTGTTCCACGGATCTGGTGTGGCTATAACTTGTCCTCTTGGCCAGTTACCTTGGTTCCCACTGTCTCCTCTCACCTTTGGGCCCTTCTTGGCAATTTGTAACCCAGCCCTCTAGATGTAGTCTTCCCACTCAATCCCCCTTCTCCACCAGGGCCCATTCCCAAGGGACTTACTACAAAAGGGTTGGTTCTCAAGGGGCAGGAGACTGTGGGTCCAGCCATAACTGGGAAGCAGCCAGCATTCCACAGAAGAGTGCTGTTCCACCCTTCCAAATATAAGACAAAAGGAACTGTGGTACCTGTACTGCTCAATTGGGGTTTTCTGTTTGGGGTTTTATTTTGAGTTTTTTGTTGTTGTTCTTTTTGTGGTTTGGGGTTTGTATTTATTGTTGTTGTTTGTTTGTTTTTGTCAACTTGACATAAAGACGGGTCATTCAAGAAGAGGAAATCTCAGTGAGAGAATAGCTCCATCATTACGTCCTGAAGAACAATTTCTTCATGAATGGTTGGTATGAGAAGTCCCAGCTCACGGTGGGCAGTGCCACTCCTGGACAAGCAAGATGGTCCTGCGCTCCATAAGAAAGCAGCTGAGCAAGCCAATGGGCAGCACTCCTGTATGACCTCTGTCAGCTCCTGCCTCCAGTCCCTGGCCTGCGTGAGTTTCTGCCTTAGCATTCCTCAACGATGGTCTGTAACCTGTAAGCTAAATCAGTCCTTTCTCCCTGAGGTGCTTTTAGCCATGGTGTTATCACAGCCATGGCTAACAAAGTAAGACAGTACCAGGGCCGGTCACATGATAGACCTAGAAAAATGAAGTTGGAAGAGTCTCAGTGAAGACACAGTCACTACTGAGGTGTCACCCAAATAGGGCCACAGTGAGTGAGAAATTCCTGACTTCTCCAGTGTGCCTCCAGGGCCTGGCATGAGCTCAGCCTATCAGGAGGCAGCTGGCAAACCCAAGGAACGTAATTTCCACAAGTGATGGATAGTGTGTATTTGGCTCTCAGGTTACATAACTTTAGCAGCGGTTCCATGCTAAATTATCATACAAAAAGGAAAATTAGCTGGGTGGTGGTGGTGCACAACTTTAACCCCAACACTTGGGAAGCAGAGGCAGGTAGATCTCTGGGAGTTTGAGGCCAGTCTGGTCTACAGAGCGAAGTCTAGGACAGGCTCTGTAGCTACACAGAGAAGCCCAGTCTTGGGGAAGAAAGGGAGAAGGAAGGAAGGAAGGAAGGAAGGAAGGAAGGAAGGAAGGAAGGAAGGTAGGAAGGAAGGAAGGGAGACGAAACACAAATTCATATACCAGGACCCATTCTATCTAAAACACCAATCCCAGGACTGAGGGCTTAACCCAATGTAACTTACTATGTTTTCATGTGAGGAGGGTGGGTTTGATCCCCTTGGTCTGCAGCTGATAATGGGGCCAGGCAAATGTGCTTCAGGGCAGGGTCCTTTATCATGTACACACTAAACCTAGCCCAAATAGACTTCTCCCATCATCTCTGATGCCCAACCAGAAGGAGAAAACTTAGACACACACACCTTTGTTACCATGAAGTCCATCTTTGTTTCCTTGGATACTGCTGTCCGGGACTGCTCTTCAAGGTGGAATAAGAGCTAGGGAAGAAGTTTCAGCCTTCACTGCTCCAATCTAAAGTCCTGTAGTACTGCCAGATTCTGGCCTCTCTAATGCATTAGAATAACCCCCTTTCTTATTAATACCTTTTCCTCTGTGCATGTATGTGAGTGGGGCTGACATGTATGTGTGGAGAACAGCCTCAGTATCTGCACTTGCTTCCATTTTCCTTGAGACAGCATCTCTTGTTGCTCATTGCTGCATCCACAGACTAGATGGACCACCAGTGTCCCTAGATTCTCCTGTCTCTGTCTCCCATCCACCCATAGGAGTGCGGGGATCACAGACACTGGACTTGAACATCCATCCAGCTTCACTGAGGTTCTGAGGGTGTGAATGCAGGTCTTTATGCTTGCTTGAAAACAATCAACCCACTGAGTCATCTCCATTCCAGTTTCCCTCTACTTTTTATAGATTCTTCATCCAAGATTCAAATTTAAGTTTGCCAGGCAGTGTTGGTGCACACCTTTAATCCCGGTGCTCAGGAGGCAGAGTGGATCTCTGTGAGTTTGAGGCCAGCCTGATCTATGGAGAAAATTCCAGGACGGGCTCCAAAGCTACACAGAGACCTTGTCTTGGAAAAAAAAAAAATGCCAGGGCTTCCCACCTCAGCAGCCCTGCCAGGAGGAGACTGTTCCAAGGTCCCTGTTCAGCCTGAGGGATAAGCACAGGTACAGAATAGGGGCGTTTCCACCAGCCAGAATTAAGCCAAGGAAACATTGCTGAAGAAACACGCTGATTTGTCCCCTCACCTGTCCCATTCTTTTCCTCAGGACAAATCTTCTTGTAATGGAATTATTAAGACAGAAGATATTTATGGGGGGGCAGGCTTTGATTTGTGCCAATTGCTATCTGAGAAGACTGTATTTTGGCTTTGCCTTTCCTATCTCTCAGTGCGCTGATACACCACCAGGGGCCTTGGGATGAATCAGTCACCAGACCAGATAAACAAGCCTTTCTGCTGCTGATGCCTCCTCTGTACCCAAGAAGGGAACCTCCCTTGGATCTCACCCAGGCCCTGGAATTCCTCAGCACCAGACTAGGCACCTTTGTACCCCTGCCCCCACGGGCCTAGATCCTACTCTACTCTCCCCGCCTTATGCAGGGCGGAGCCAGCTGCCAAAGCAGCAAGACTTCACACAGAGCCCAGCCTCCTTGCAGGGTCCAGAGCCGAGGCCCAGAGGGGCCCTTGGCAGGACCCAATGAAGACACTACTGACCTTCCTTGCTGTGGGATCCCTAGCCGGTGAGTGCTTCCTAATCTGCCCTCAATTCCCCCTACCCCAATAGCCCGGGAGCATATTTGCCTCCTCGTGCCCCAAGAGCCTCATAACACCCAGTTTCATTTTCTTCCTTGCTGACACTGGACAGGGTGCCAGGTTTTTCTGGAGATAGAGATGACCTACTCCAGGTAGCTGGAGGGGACAATAGAGTACCCTAGACCCTGGCTTCCTGAAGGGACTCAACCGACCTTCAAGTATACAGGCATTGGCCAGCCGTCTGAAATAGAGGTGCCGAGTCCCCCTCCCCCAGTAGATAGAGTTGGCCCAGGGGTGGGTACCACTTCATGTTCAGCTTCTGACCAAAGATGGGGAGACAGGCTAGACAAAGCTGGAGTTAGGTCACTGCCTCTGTCCATGTCTCCTCAGGCCACTCTGGCTGGACCAGTAACCAAGAGTGGCCAGGTGGGCTGCACTAAAACAACAGAGTGCCCATATAAATGAGACTAAGGACTCACGCAAAGTCCAAAAAGGGAATTTTGGGGTTCATACCCATGAGAACTTCACATAAGATGGGGGATCCTCTCTCAGAAGTCCGAGCTTAGGCATGATGGAAGTGGTCCAGCCGTCTCCTAGACCTTCTTGCCTAGTGTAGAATTCATTCCCTGAAGAGACAAGCCTGCTCTGGCTCCTCTCTCCAAACAGTACAGACCGGCCCTTAGCATCAGCAGGACTTCCTCACAACCCTGCCTGTGAGGGGCTGTGGAGATGAGAAGCAGCAACCCCCCAACAAAAGTGTGTTCTCTTACATCCCACAAGTTGTGGTGTGGAGCTGTGGATCGCCTGACGCTTTAAGAGGGCGGGGGGCACAGAAAGGAGCCCTGAGGTGACAGGTCCCCAACATTAGCCCCAGACACGCAGACACGGGCTCCCACCCCAGCTCTCAGGCCACCTCCAGGTCATGTCAGGCTATGTGTTCTTTCCTTAGCTCCCGCACCAGCTGATACATTGTTTTTCCGCACAAATGTGAAACCTGTCTTTTATAAAGTGGCCAGACAGCCAGACTCCCCACCATACATCTCCTCCTTTCCCGGGGTTTCACAATGTAGACTTTCAACCAGGAAGTGCCGGAATGACACAGGCAGGCGGGAGGGGGGAAACAGACAGACTTAAAGAGGGAAAGGAGCGGAGAGAGGTCTCACTGGCCCCCTGAGTTGGGAGGAGCTCTGCCAAGACCACCTAGCCCACGTCAGAAAAGCCCACTACAGTCCCCGGCCACCCTGCTTCTCTTCAATTCTTTTGTCCAGGGTGCTCCCAGCCTCTCCCAGCCCAGACATCCTACCCAGGACTGTCTCCAGTAGCAGCCTAGTCTGCAGCAGAGTCTAGGAAAGGTTAAGCTCACCCAGACAGACCCCAGCCTTTTCTCAAACCTGCTCTTTCTCTCTCTTCTGCACAGGGCTCACCCCATGCCCCCCCCCCCCACAGAAGCCACTGCTTAAGTCTGTCTTCTTCCTATTGGTCTCTCGCCCCTAGCCTCAGATCCAGCCTCAACAGAGAACTCTAGAACTAGCCTCAAGCCTGCCCAGCCCAGGATCCAAGCAGACAGTTAGCCACATAGCAGCAGCACAGCCACCATACTCGAGCACTGTCCCCAAGGACCCACTGTGTGCACTGTGGTGAAGCCTGGAAAACAAAGGTTAGCACAGCTGCTGTCCCAGACTGACCCAGATTCAGGGAGGTGTAACCAGGGGACCTGCAGTACCAGGGATGGGCTGTTCTGATCATCTGCGCACCCTCACCCCGGGAAGCACACAGGTCTCTCTTGAAAGAGCCCTGTAGACTTGGACTGTAGGAATAGCTACCCTCTCCTCTCATGGCTGTAGTCAGATGTGGGGGAGGAAGGCACAGACACATCAAAGGCATCTGTCCTCAAGGCCTCCACTGAGAGCTCGGCACCTGTCCCTTTCCCACCCTCGCCAACCAGGCTGTTCTGAGCATGCTCAGAACTGGAGTACCTTGGTTGTATTACCCGCCCCTTCTTCCTCACCACAGGCGGGGTCTGGACTGAGGGGAGGGTTCTATAAGGCCCAGGCTCTTCACCCACAAGGACATTGCTTCAGAGGCAGCAAGCCCCTCCATGGTTACCCTGGGACCCAAGCCTGTCTGGTCTTTGCTTTGTCTAAAGCTGAGCAAAATGCCTGAGTTAGAAACAATGGCCGGCAGGCAGGATTCATTTTAGTTTGGAGTTGGGGGTTGGGGGCTAGGGGTTGAAGCCAGAGCCTCATGCCTGTTAAGCCCTGCTCTGTCTCTCAACTCCACCCCTAGCCTCAGTCACGAATTCCTTAGCCTGTCTTCTGCCCTTCTCTCCCCTCCCATCTTCCTTGAACCGATCCCCTGCCAGGACTCAGATCACCGACACCCACTTAGCAGAAATAGAGGAGGATGCTCCTTCCCACACACACTCCTGCTTTTCCAGCCCCTCTCTTATGCCCAGGACAGGCAGGTCCTATGAAGTGCTGGTCACCTTCACAGACCGTGCCCCACTGCTCAGATGAGCCGTCCTTGTAGCCCTGGGACCCTGTCAAATGCTAACCGTGGCACTGGTCAGTAGCCCTGGATGAGCCTCGGTTTCTCTCATTCATGAAATAGGAACAGCAGCAGCCACTATCTCATAGGGTGAGTGTTCAGTGAGTAGAGAGGTTTGGGCTGGTGGTTAGCAGCTGCCATGTCCCTCCCGGGCATCAGCTGCTGCTGTTGTCATCATTATCTGTTGCTAAGTAAGGTAAATTGTCCCCATTCTAAACTTAAGGAAACAAAGATCAAATTGTTTAAACAATTTCCCCTGTGGTGACCTTGCCCATATGTCAGCCTCCTGCCTCCTACAAGGCCTCAGTACAGAAGGTGTCTTTGCTGTCCATGGAGGCTACAAGGCTAGTAGGTGGGGACTGACATGGAAAGAATTCACACTACCTTCTCCACTACTGGGTGAAAGGATTGGCTTCAGACACATGCCGCCTTTAGGCTTCTACCTGGAGAACTCTAAAATAAGATTAAGAATACCAACCTCAGTGTTAAAAAGTGAATGAGCCAGGCAGTGGTGGCACACATCTTTAATCCCAGCACTTAGAAGACAGAGGCAGGTGGATCTCTGTAAGTTCGAGGACAACCTGGTATACAGAGTGAGTTCCAGGAGAGTCAGGGCTACACAGAGAAACCCTGTCTTGAAAACCAAACAAAACCAAAACATCAACAACAAAAAGTGAATGAGACAGTAAGTATTCACAAGGGTGTAAATCTGACAGCTCGGTTACTGCTGGGAGTGGGGGGGGGGGTAGAATTTAATGCACTGTAGCCGCTTCAGGAAACCCCTTGGTAATTCCCTTAAAAGTTAAGAATAAAGAAGGCCAAGGCTCAGTGACAGAATGAATGCCTGAGACCCTGGGTTCCATCCTCAGCACTGTGGTAGGTAGATAAATGAATGGATGGATAGGTAGTCAGACAGAATTATAGAGCTACCAACATGTATACCCAAGAGAATTATATATGAAATTATATCCACTCTAGGTGCATACCAAAGGGAATTGGAAACATGTCCATTTAATTTTTTCCCCACAAATGGTCACATCAGCATTATTCAAAACAGTTAAAAAATTAAAAGCTGGAAATCCAAATGTCCACCATGATAGATAAACAAAATGTGGTATATACATACAGTAGAATATTATCCAGTCATAAAAAATAAACACTGATGCATGCTGTAAATGAAACTTGACAACCTGCTGAATGAAAGAAGCCAGACACAGGGAAAAGCCAGATTGTAAAATAAATGAAAATCTAGAATTGGAAAACTCTAAGAGATTTGTGATTGCCAGGAACCAGGGCTGTGGAGGGATGAGCTGTAATCACCAAATGTGTAGTTCCTTTTGTGTATAATGAAAAAGTTCTAGAATTAGGTAGTTGTGTCATATGCACAGGAGTGGGGATGATCTCAGAAGATGGTGACCCGAACACCTAAATGGCGTATGTCGTGCAGGGTAAACCATAGCTCACTGAGCAGGGAGGGATGTGTGGGAGCAGGGAGCAACACCGGAGAGTGAGGAGCCCCTCTCCTTGAATATGGGAGCCCTCAGCCTACAAACCCACGGCCTCCCCCTGACTCCTGCAGCTCGCACTACTGAGGACACAGCGAGACTCCTTCAATACGTGAGATTCCAGTCCAGGAACTTTGAAAACATCTTGACGTGGGGCAGTGGACCAGACAGCACCCCAGACACCGTCTACAGCGTGGAGTATAAGAGGCAGGTATCTCATGCAACCCAACCTCCTCCTGACTCTGCATTCACAAAACCCAGGTCCCTTCTTAGTCCTGCCATTTCAACATCTGGCAAGTCGCTCCCTGTGTCTGAGCCTCTGTCTTCCCACCTGTAAATTAGGGCTCACCGTGCTTGTGAAAGGGCTGGGTGGCAGAATATGGACTCAAACTGTCAGGGTTCTGTCTAGTCATCATATGTCCACTTCAAACCCTTGATCACAGTCTTCTCCTCTGAGTGCAGCTTCCTCCCCTGAGGTACATCCTTACCTATAAAGACTACTGTGAGAGCTGACCTTACTGTCCACACAGACAGCCTTGGTGTTGAGTAAATATCAGATGCCCTTATCATCATTATTAAACTACTCTGCACCCTGTGTGCCCTCACCTACAGGTACGGAGAGAAAGAGTGGCTGGCCAAGGCAGGCTGCCAGCGGACCACCCAGAAGTACTGCAACTTGACTATGGAGACGGGCAACCTCACCGAACTTTACTATGCCCAGGTCACGGCTGTCAGCCCAGGAAGGAAACATGACAGCAAGAAAACTGACCGTTTCAGCTCACTGCAACACAGTAAGGCGGGGTGCCTGCTCACTTCGGGAAGGGGAGAGGCACATCTGGGGTGAGGGAGAGGCTGGCCTGCACACCTGGAATGGGGAGAGGCTGGCCTGTACATCTGGGGTGAGGGGAGAGGCTGGCCTGCCCATCTGGAGCGGGGAGAGGCTGGCCTGCATATCTAGAGTGGGGAGAGGCTAGCCTGTACATCTGGGATGAGGGGAGAGGCTGGCCTGCATATCTGGAGTGGGGAGAGGCTAGCCTGAACATCTGGGATGAGGGGAGAGGCTGGCCTGCATATCTGGAGTGGGGAGAGGCTAGCCTGTACATCTGGGGTGAGGGGAGAGGATGACATGTGCATTTGGGATGAAGGGGGAGTTCTCAGATCTCTGGAGTGGATGGGGACCCAGCAAGATTCTGCACTAAGGGAAGTGCCTTTCAGGGGAGGTATTCCCGGGTCAGGGCACACCCCAGGGGGTTGTTTCTTTTCTCTACCTCTACTCAAAGCTTCCTAGGTTATAGGAGGCCCCACCACCATAGCCAGGGCTCCTAATTCATTTCTCCACTCTCCTAATACCCCTTGCCCATCCTCCCAGATTTAAAGCCTGCCATCTCTTTTTGTGCTGGTGAGCCTTAGATAAGATCCAGTTCCTCCCTTGGTCCTGCCAGTCCTGCCTAGCCCAGTCCATGGATGAAACACTCTGTATTCAGTGAGTCCCATTCTCTGCTGGCCCCTGCCTCTGTACCTACAGTGCTCCCCAGGTCTGAGGGCTTAGCTCAATATAGACTCCAAAGAGAGGCCCAGCCTCCAGCCCTGACCACATGATCTCAGCCAGTCAAAGCCAGCTGAGATCTGTACTTGTTCTTTATCTTTACTTATTCTCCATCCCAGTGGCCCTCTGATCCAACCAAATGCAAATGAAAAATATTGCATCTGCATAGTCTGTCCACATTCTTGTCCTTGCTATCTGGGCGATACACAACTGTTTACATAGCACTTACACAGTATTAGGCATTATCTGTTAACAGTATACAAGGGCTGTGTTTAGGTTAAGAACAATACTGGACCACTCTACACAATGGACTAAGAACTATGGATTTGTGCATTGGTGAGGCAATCCAGAACCAATCCCCACAGACACTGAGAGATCCTGTGCCATTGTTCATGTCTTCACAGCTCAGGTCACAACTGACAAAGACTGTGTTTGCTTATGTGTATTCTCAATCTCCCCGACAAAGACATGAGCTCCAGGACAGTCTATGGGTCCCACTGTGTTCCAAGCCATTAGCAGAGTGCCTGGTACATAGAAGAAGCTCCATATACAACCAATGAATCCATGAATAAATGAATGAGTGAGTGAATGAATACCAGGTGCCAAACCCTGTACACACACTAAGCATGTGGTGATATCAACTGACTTATGAAGTCACAATTCCCTGTGTTTTGAGACAGGCTCTTAGTCTGTAGTGCTACCAGGCTTGGACATCACTTTATTGCCCATGCTAATCTCAAAATAGTAGTGTCCTAGTTTGCTTTTGTTGCTGTGATAAACACTGACCAAAAGGGAAGCAGGGGCTTATCTAAGGCTTGCATATCCAGATCACAGCTCATCACTAAGGGACACTCTCAAAGCAGGAGCTCAAGGCAGGAACCATGGAGGAAATCTGCCTTCTGACTTGCTCATAGGTTCCCATGCAGCTCATTTTCTGATACAGCCCAGGCCTGCCTGCCTAGGGATGGCACTACCCACAGTGGGCTGGACCAAGAAAATGCCCCACAGACATGCACATGGGCCAATCTGATGGGGGGATTCTGCCTCAGCCTCCTGATCTGGAGTCAAATTCTAGTTTTGGAACTCCTTTTGTCCATATAGCAGTGTTATGAACTTTGCCCATTCTATGAAACACTTTCCTCACCCTGGTTTCCCATAGCTATGAAACAACCCATTCCACAGTAGAATACTAATTTCCTTTCCTTTTTGAGGACATTAATCTCCATTTTTTTCTTTCTTTTTTAATATTTCTCTTTCACATGTATTGTTTATTTGTATTCACACATGTGTCTGTGTGCGTTTAGGTCAGAGGACAACTTTAGGGAGTTTGTTCTTTCTTTCTGTCACATGGTTTCCAGGGATTGGACCTCAAGTCATCAGGCTTGGTGGCGAGCACCCTTACCACTGAGCCATCTTGTCAGTTGTAGCTCTGCTTTCCAACTTCATTGGAGTAAACACTCTTTGGCTATGCTGTTCTAAACCTTGAAGGACAACAAATCAGTATTAGACTTGTGCAAAAATAGATTCACATACTCCTGAAACTGGATGAGAGATTTTTGTGTGCCCACATTGCCATGAATGAAATAGCCATAGCAATCATTATATCATTAAAAAGGTATGCAGGGGCCGGAGACGTGGCTCAGCCAGCTCTTGCTGTGTAACTGTGAGGGCTTCAGTTCGAATTCCCAACACCCATGTAGAAATGTAAGCATGCCTGTGACCCCATTGCTGCAGTGTGGATACACGTGGAGCCTAGGAGCTCATGGGCCAAGCCAGGCTAGCAGAAATGAAGAACCTCCAGTTCAGTGAGAGAGGGTTCCTAACTCAAGACACCTAACAGTCTGACTGGCAAGCTAGCTCAGCAATTAAGAGCCCTTGCTGCTCTTGCAGAGGACCCAGGTTCAATTCCAAGCACCCACATGGCAGCTGACAACCATCTGAACTCAGTTTTCAATCTCCTTGGACAACAGGTAGACATGTATTGCACATACAGACATGTGAGCAACACCCACATACATAGAATAAACCCAATATCCTCCTCTGGCCTCCAAATGCACACAGACAGACAGACAGACAGACAGACACACACACACACACACACACACACACACACACACACACACACACACTATTGTTTTGCTTTTTTTTCTTTTAAGGTATTGTAAAACAGTGAAAGTCATTTGGAAAATTCCATCTTGAGAGAGAAGTCTTGAGAGCAGAAGTGTTAGCATTGGGCCTGGCATTATTTACACTCTGTCTGGACGCATCAGCCATTGATGGCCCGGAAGTTGTCATCGCAGTAGTCTAAGGGGAAGGATATTCCGGGCACACTCACACTGGGGATGCCAGGGCTAGGATGCATCAAGGCAGAACTAAGGGTTAGTACCCTTCCAGTCTGGGTACCTTCCACCCACCTTCTATCACCCCTGGACAGCCTCATTCTTTGACACCAGCTACCCAAAGACCTCTTCTCAGATGCTGAGTTAGTTGCTGCTCCACAAATCATTCTGGGCTTTTTTTCTCTCCCCATTTCTAGCTACTATCAAACCACCAGATGTGACCTGTATCCCCAAAGTGAGGTCCATTCAGATGCTGATCCACCCCACGTTCACACCCATCCGCTCGGAAGATGGCCACCAGCTAACTCTGGAGGAGATTTTCCGTGACCTGTTCTACCACTTAGAACTCCGAGTCAACCACACCTACCAAATGGTAAATATAGATCATACCCCATGCCTTCTTGGGAACCCCCTTCCCTCCCAAGAATATTGGGCTGCTTGCAGCAAAAATGATAATTGTATAAAATGGCACTTCCCAAAAAAATGTCCTTGTAGGGCTCCTAGAATTCTAGTGGAATCATGAGGCACGATCTCCGGCTGTAGGATCATATAGCATCTTCCAGGCTTTAACAAGTCCTGCAGAACCAAAGTTTCAATTTTGTACCATGCAAACTTTTCATATGTATTGGACCAGATTCCTTTTGTTTGTTGGGTACATTGGTTGGTGCTTGTATGTTTGAGTCAGAGTAACACTCTATAATCCAAGATGGCCTGGAACTCACTAAAAAGTCATAGCAATCCTCCTGCATCAGCACTAGTATTACAGGCATGCGTCGCTGGGCCTAATTCAGAAAGCTTTATTGTTTTTGTTTTTGCCTAATATCCTGCAATATCCCAGAGAACAATATATTTCTATTAATAGTCCCAGTTGTTGTCTGTCTCTCTTTTGATTTTTGAGACAGGTTTTCTCTGTGTAGCCCTGGCTGTCCTGTAACTCACTATGGAGTCTAGGCTTGCCTTCGCCTCCCAAATACTGGGATTAGTGTGGGCCACCACCTCCCAGTCATTTTCTTTAGGAAATGTTGGTGTCATAGGATAGTAGCCATAACTTTGAGAGTCCTTGCCTAGCATGTTCAAAGCTCTGGGTTTGGTTCTCAAAATCATAGAAACAAAGTAGGGTGGTGTATGCTTCTAATCCCAGATCAGAGGTGGAGGCAGGAGGGTCAGGAGTTTGGGACCATTCTTGGGCAACAAGTTTGACAGCACTCTGGCCTGTGTGAGACTGTGTCTAAAAGAGAGAGAGAGAGAGAGAGAGATTAAAATCCTGAAGTCAGCCTGGAAGTGTTTGGGGAAACTGTGTGCAGGGAGTGGCTTACGATGGGCCCTAACAAAAGGTCAAACTGACAAGTGGCAGACAGTATGCAAATGATCTGAGCTTGTGTGCTCCCAGTATGTACCATTAATTCATGACTCAGCTGGGTGAATGTTTATTTCCTCCTCTGCAGTTCTGAAAGAAAAAAAAAATCCCTCAATGAGTGAATAACCTAGAGGGTGGGGGAGAGGCTAAAACAAGAATTGGAACAGGCAAGACTTCATGTCAGCTCAGCACGACCTAAGAGACTGGAAAACTCTGGGGTGTCCATGCCACTTTCTGAGGCATGCAAAGCTGTCACTTATTTTCACCATGCCACACCCCAAAGCTCCATAGGTGGGAGCCAGTGTCTCTGTCTTTGGGGTGAGAAGACACAGATTCAGAGAGGTTAAGCTACTTAATGGACAAAGGTCAGCACCTTCATAGATGCCAGCAAAGCCTCCATTTATTGTGGCACCATGATCAGAAAGAGAAGCAGGACCATGTACAGTATTTATTTTCAAAAGCACAAAGCTGGCCACTGTGGCTGCAGCGTGAAGCCACATGAGGCAGTTTTCCCGCACGTGCCCTGGACCAGTGGTATCAGAGCCTCCCTGGGTACTTGCTCAAAGCTCAGCTCTGGGGGGGTGGGGGGCAGAAATAACTTAAGGAACAAAAGGAGTCTCAAAGGTGTCAGCTGACAAGGCAGGAGAGGTGTGGCAGAGTAGAGCAATGCAGATCACAGAAGCAGGGGACACGGGAAGAGGCCAGGCATCAGAGACATATAGCCAGTGACCTCCGTCCTTCAGAAGATCACATCCCACCTCTCACCACTTCCTAGTGAAGCCACCAAATTACAAGTCCATTCGACAGGTCAGAACCTGGGCAATCCGTCTTCTTAGACACACCCTCATACACACACACACACACACACACACACACACACACACACACACACACTCACACAGAGACAGCCTCATGGTCTCCTAAGTGGTTCTCAATTCAATCAAGCTGATGAGATTAACCATCAGGGGCCCCTCCCAGTCTGCGCCGATGTTCCCAGCTGCCTGTCTTAGACCTGGATTGTAGTGATCATCCCACAGGGGGACTCTTCCCTCGCCTTGAAGCTTAAGAACCTCCTGTGTGGAGAGACTGTGGGAGACATGCTTGAGACTGTTAGGACGTGGGGTACAGGTGGTGGAGGAAAATTCTACAGTTGTCATGGGAACAGCAAGAGATTACCTTGTCATCAAAGCAGTTCCGTCTGATAAATATTTGGGTTGGACTAAAGATTTTATGATTCTTGATTTCTGATTTGATTTGGCCTCTTGTCTGTGAGCCTGCTCTATCTGAATTAGGCTTTTTGAACTTGTGAAGGTTTATTTTATGGCCTGTCATCTTCTGAAGAGAGTAAGTGTGTTCAGAGATGTAGGGTAGTGTGTTCTACAAACACCAACTAGATAGTGGAGCCCCCAACATCAGTATCTTTTCTGATATTGGGATGGGGGGCGTCTGTGTTGTTCTTTCAGCTAATGAGAATACTGAACTCTTCAACTAGGCGTATGAGTGTATTTCCCCTTAGTTAGTTGTGTGCATTTTTCTGTCATCCATTTTGAAACCCTTATTAAACATATGCTTGCATGACTATCACGTCTTCCTGATAAGTTGGCCTCTAATCATGATGAAATTCCCCTTTTTGTCTCCTGTTGAAGCCCACTTTATCTGACTTGGATATTGCCGCTCCAGTCTCCTTATAGTGTACACAGTATATACATAAACATACATATTTAAAGATTTATTTAATGTCTATGGGACTGCACACATGTCTGTGTATCACATGTGAAGGCATACATGTATCACATCAGAAGAAGGCATCAGATCCCCTGGAACTGGAGTTATGGATGGTTGTAAGCTATCATATAGGTGCCGAGAACTGAATCTGGCTCCTCTGCAAGATTAGTGAGGGCTCCCAACCACTGAGCCATCTCTCCAGGCCCCAGAAGAGAAGCTGGAAAGATGGGCTCTGACATGGGAACCGAACTCTCAGGGGTTTTGTTGTAAACCTTGGCCTTTAATGTCTGAGCTATCTATCCAGCCCTCACGCCTTCCTATAACCATTTATCTTTAGCCTGTGTCTTTATATTTAAAAAGCATCTATGAAGACAATGTTCTGACAGTGTACTCCTTTTAAGGCTTATTTTATGTATGTGTGCACATGTAGGGGCATTTATGTGTCACAGCACTTGTGTGGAGGTCACAAGACATCTTGAAGGAATTGATTCTATCCTTTTACCTCTCGAGTTTGAACTCAGGCTATCAGCCTTGGCGACAATCACCCTTACCCCCTGAGCCATGCCATAAAAATTAATTCTCCTCTTTCCATTTTTGTAATGTGTGGAATCGAACTCAGAGCCTTACAAGTGCTAGATGAGCCCTAGCACTGGGCCACCCCCCCCCAGACCTAAAGTCATCCTTTTAAGGTGCAGAGTCCAGAGGTTCCGAGCACCACAGAGGGGCACACTGTCCTTCCCACTTACCACAACTCATCCCATCAATTTGTCTTCAGGTTTCTGTTTCCTCTCCTTTCCAAACCATTGTTAAGGTTGCTTCGCATTTTTTTTAAATCAGATATTGTGTTGTTCAGTTCTGCAGTTTCCATATTTATATTTACCATACATTATTGATATAGATGGATGTTTCCTGTCCTGACCACCTGTTTCCAAATACCCAGCAGCCACCTTCCAAAATACCACACAGATGCTTATGTTAATTATAAATGCTCAGCCAATAACTCAGGCTTATTACTAGCTAAGTTTTACATTTAAATTAACCTATTTCTATTAGTCTCTGTAAAGCCTGGGGCTTTACCTGTCCCCTAGCATCTTGCTTTCTGAGTGGCTGGCTGATGTCTCTCCTGACTCCGCCCTCCTTCCCATCTTTCTCAGTTTGGTTTTCCCACCTAACCTCCCATCGAGCTACCTGCCTGTCAGCTTTTGATTAACCAATGGGAGTAATACATACGTATTCATGGTGTAGTTGTTCCACAGCATGCTGAGATGTATTTATTTGCTGCATTTTGTGCATGTGTAAATGTGCCCATGGCACAAGTCAGAGGGCATGCAGGAGTTGGTTCTCTCCTTCCTGCAGGTGGATCCTGAGGATTGAACTCAGATCCCCAGGCTTTGCAGCAAGCACCATTATCTGCTGAGCCACCTCACCTGTCCTTGTTTATTCATTATGAACATATTTTCTTTTACTTACTTGAATTATAGATGATTCAAAGTTATTGTATGTTAATCCCAACATTCTGGTCATGTTTGGGGTCATAATCTTTGTTTTCCTTGTACATTTTGTAATATAGCCTAAAAATTATGAATGCCACCTTGAAGTGACTCTGGCTTGTGTTATAACCTCCAAGGGTGTGTAGATTAGTCTTTGTTCTTTTTGGGGGGTGGATTTTGTTGTTTGTTTCTAACAAAATCTCCCACTGTAGCCCAAGCTAGCCTGGAACTTATTATTATTAACTAAGGATGCCCTCAAACTGGCAGTAATCCTCCTATCTCTGCCTCCTGACTGACTGCCACCATGCTCAACTTTCTGTGGTGTTTTTGCATTAACTTGGCTGAACTTTACCCTCTGACATCTCCATTCAGTCTTTTAATCTTATTTAAGCTTGGAGGCTGTCTCAAGCATGCAGTGTGTATCTTATTTAGGCATGGAGGCTACCTCACACATGCAGTGTGTATTTGAAGACCTGCAGGGGTAGAGCTGAGTTCACACAGAGATCCTGGGCCTCCTCCACAGAGTGTTCCCCACAACCCCTCAAAGTGTAGGTTGGAATCTACCTTCAGGATAAAAGACACTTAAAAATGTTGGTTGCTTCTATTCCTCCCTCATCTCCCAGCACTCCCTCCTGTAGATGGTTAATTTAATCTCTTTTCGTCACCATGTCAAAATATCTGACAGGAAAACTTAAAGGGAAGAATTCTCTCTTGGGCTCTTGGCTCCAGAGGACTCTGCCTGCGGTTGCTAAGACTGTGCACTTGGGCAGAATTCATGGTGCCCAGAACATACTACAGAGAAGGCTTTTCATACACAGAAAATAGAAAGCAGAGAGAGGGAGGGCAGGGGAGGGCAGGGGAGGGCAGGGGAGGGCAGGGGAGGAGCAGAACGGAAGAGATGGCTCAGGGGTTAAGAGTGTGCACTGCTCTTACAGAGATCTCAAGTTTGGTTCCAGCACCCAAGTCAGGCACCTCACAACTGCAGGTAACTCCAGCTTCCAAAGACCCTGTACACACACACACACACACACACACACACAATTTAAATAAAAAATGAAAGCAGGAGTGGGGGTCAGGAAGGGGTTAGGGACACAGTATCTCCAAGGACCCACCCCTTGACCCTTGACCTACTTCTTCCAGCCAAGTCCTGCCTCCTGAAGTTTCCAGAACCTCTCAAAATAAAAATATTGCCCTCATCTGGGAACCAAGCAGCTGAAACATGAACCTATGTATGACATCTCATACCCAGCTGTCATAGGCATGTTAATAGTTGTTATTTGGGGGACAGTCCATCCCATAAAGGGTATACATCCCCAGAATAGGGTGAAAAGTGAGCAGACATGAAAGGAAGAGAGCAAGGTGGGAAGTCGGAGGGTGACAGGCACAGGCCAGGCCAAGACGGAGACAAGGAAAGCCTGGTGACTGCCCTGGGCTTGGACCAAGGAATATTTAACATCTTCAGGGTTGGTTGTTTGAGCTCTACAAGAGTAATTTATGAAATATATCCACATACCCCACCCACTTCACAAAGCTATCCCCGTCCCTACCAGCCTGGGGCCCTCCCCCATCAACCGGCACTTGACTAAACCTTGGCCTCTCGTGTCCAGAAAAGAGAAAGCATGGCTGAAGTGCAGAGAGGAAAAAAGGCCTGCTGCTTTAAGGGAAGCTGTTGCCACAGAGGATGAGTGAAGTTTGGGAGTGCAAGGATGGGTATGGGGATGTGTGGCATAGGGGTGCCTGCCTGCCTGCTGCCACCCAGCAGGTCCATCAGAGACCCTTCAGAGTCATACAGTGATGGCTACAGGTCCAGACAAGATCATTAAGCGACCAAAAAGAGAAAGATGGGTGAAGAGTTCACAAGGCATGGATGACACTGAGGGGCTAAAACAGGCGGCCTAGCCACAGAGTGACAGGAGCTGACAGGAACCCCCCAAGAGTGGCATGGGGCAGGCAAGTTGGAGGGATCTAAGACAAGGGAATTAGAGAAACCTGGGGAAGGAAACCCACAAGTTATCACCACAAAGACGAGCAGGAAATAAACCCTGGCTTACTCAAGTCAGGGGTTCACCAGTGGCCCAGGGCCCTGCATCCTCAGAGCCTTGAGCCAGAGAAGCTGTAGATGGGGTTTGACTGGGATGTTGTCTGGGGCCTAGTCTCTGAAGGAGAGAACTGTAAATCTAGACAGTGGCATCAAGATGAATGTACCAGTGGGCAGGGACCAAGCCAGAGACAAGTGACCGGCCAGGGGCCACTGCAGTGTCCAGGCTGGGGACTGCAGGTCAGAAGGGGCAGAAGGGTGGAGGAACATAAAAGTGGGGGCAGGGTTGATAATGGAGGGAGCCGGGGAGAGGCAGAGATGGGGGTGGCACTCATGCTGTCACCGCAACAGCTGGTATCTGTAGGCTGTCACGATATGACAGACCAGGTTCTATGTGAAAGGTTCAAAGAGCTTGAACGCTGATTGAATTGAAGATAAAAGAACAAAGAGCCACCAGCTGAACCAGCGGGTCAGGCCAGCTGATGGGGTCATCTTAGTGTCAGGAAGAGGGATGAGGGATGAGCATGTGCATCATGTGTGTGTCTGTGTGTGTGTGATGTGTACATCTGTGTGTCTGTGCGAGTCTGTGTGCCTGTGTGTGTCTGTGTGTGTATCTGTCTATGTGCGGTGCCTACATCTGTGTTTCTGTGTGTGTGTGTGTTGTGTACATCTGTGTGTCTGTGTGCCTGTGTGTGTCTGTGTGTGTATCTGTCTATGTGTGGTGTGTACATCTGTGTGTCTGTGTGAGTCTGTGTGTCTGTGTGTGTATCTGTCTATGTGTGGTGCCTACATCTGTGTTTCTGTGTGAGTCTGTGTGCCTGTGTGTGTCTGTGTGTGTGTGGTGTCTACATCTGTGTGTCTGTGTGAGTCTGTGTGTCTGTGTGTGTATCTGTCTATGTGTGGTGTCTACATCTGTGTGTCTGTGTGAGTCTGTGTGCCTGTGTGTGTCTATGTGTGGTGTGTACATCTTTGTGTCTGTGTGAGTCTGTGTGTCTGTGTGTGTTTGTGTCTGTGAGTCTGTGTGTGTGGTGTGTACATCTGTGTGTCTGTGTGAGTCTGTGTGCCTGTGTGTGCCTGTGTGTATATATCTGTCTGTGTGTGGTGTGTGTTGTATACATCTGTGTGTTTGCGTGAGCCTGTGTGTCTGTGTATGTGTCTATGTGAGTCTGTGTGTGTATGTGTGTGTGTGTGTGTGTGCAGTCACAGTGTACAGTGATGTTGGGTTCTCTGTCCATTTCAGCACCTTGAAGGCAAACAGAGAGAATATGAATTCCTTGGCCTGACTCCTGACACAGAGTTCCTCGGAGCCATCACAATTTTGGCTCCAATGTGGTCCAAGGAGAGTGCTCCCTACATGTGCCGAGTGAAGACACTGCCTGGTGAGTCCAACTGAGGCCGTGGGGGAGGATTCCTGAGTGCCCAGCTTAACTCCTCTCCTCCCTCCCTGTAACCAAGGGGATGCTTGGCAGTGCTCTGAGAACCCTCGGAGATTGGTGTTATCATAGTAAGATTGATCTTTTTTTATCCACAGCTGAGTTGTCTAATAGGTTCACTTAGTGAATGTTTGTTTAATCGCCACCCTCAGCCAACACCTGAATTTCTTTTTTTCAGGCCAGCTTTGTGTAAACTCTGGGAAAGCAAACATGTACATTACCAACTCAAGGAGCGTATACTAGGGGAGGAGGTGTGCAGGGGTGGGGACAGAAACGGTAAAATGATCCTTATATCTTCAAAGCCAACGAACCATAATGGTGATAATGATGGCTTGCATATCTGCTGAGCAGACCAGGGACTAGTCACTGGGACTCCCTCATAGTCTGGGGAACAGGTACTCCAATTACTTTCATTCTACAGCAGAGGAAACAGGTTCAGAGTGGTTACATATTTTACCCAAGGTCACACAAGAAGGGAAGGATGGGATGAGGCTCAAATCCAGTGACTCTGTGCTAACCACTGTGCTACAGTGTACTTTTGAGTCATCTACTCAGGGAGATACTGGCATGGCCCTTCCTCTAGCACGTTCTCGGGACTTGGGTTATGGCTCAGTAGCAGAGCATAGGCAAGGTTTGGGGTTCCATCCCTAACCATGGGAAGCAGACCATCGAAAGCTTTGGAGCATCTGCTCTTTGGTTAGACTTATGTTCCCAAGCAAGTTAGAAGAGTTGTCATGCTTCCAGCTGCCAGTTAGAGCAGGACGGTGATGTCAGCGGGTGGGGATGTCTCAGAACTCAGTTTGAGAATTGGATGACAGTGTATGACACTGGGTGAAAAAAATGGTCCTGTCCTCAAACTCAGCCCATCAGAATCTGCAAGACACTGGCTTCTCTGCCTGAGTCCAGGGCATTATCAGGCAGGAGACACAGCTGGAGGACAACCAGCCCTGGCCAATAGCATGGGGCATGCCCTTCCTTCGTGAGGGACCCAGGCACCAGAATAGAACCTGGCAAGCAGGAGGCTAGAAACAGAAACCACTCTGTGAGTGCCAAGCTGGGCCATGTATAATGTGATCTTTGACCTTCACCCTGACCTGGTTGGATATGTTTCATCTGTCCCCAGACTCCCCATCCCACCCTGCTTCTGGACAGCAGACTGGCCACTCCTCACCCATCCTCCTATGCGTTTGACCTCACATGAACTGGCTTGCAATGTCACATGTCACACTAGGTTTTGTTTGGGTTTGGGTTTTTTGTTATGTTTTAGCCAAGGCTAGTCTCCAGCTCCTGATCCTCCTGCCTCAGCCTCCTGAGACTTGAGACCATCACTGCTTTCAGCTGAAGCTTGCTTTTCTTGGCTGTTTCTTTCCAATGGGCCTAAAGAACAAAGTATGTTACAAGCACTTCCTGCAATTACGAACAACTCCGATGCCAACATGTCAGCTGCTTTATGCATTCTTTCAATGCACATATTACTTAATTTTTAAAACAACCCTCCCCCCAAAATGTTGGTAGCATAACCCTCATTTTACACAGAGGAACTCCAGCTCTTAAGTAACTTGTCCATGACTACACAGCTGGTCAGTGAACCCAGTTAGATTTGCCTGACTCTAACCTTCACCTTGCAATCTAGTGTACAGCAGCTAACTCTGCACTTCCATTCCAGAGTGAACCATCCTGCCCTTGATCTTAGTCTAGGTTTGGCCTCTTCCAGATCCCAGAATCCCCTCTTTGTTTCCTCAGGATGCCTGGGAGTTACAGAATATCATCCCAGCATCATGGTGGGGGAAAGGTGTCTCAATGTTTTTTTACCTTTTTATCTTTCACAAACGGAGGCATGATTGTACACTGTCTGTGGGAATAAACTCTGAAGTCATACTCTTTCCACTGAGGAGCTGTGTGACCTTAGGCAAGTCGCTGAACTTCTCTGGGCATCATCCTTGTTGCCTAGAAGAGGAAAGCATCCCCATCCTTCTGTGTGTTCTGGTGATTTGCTGGGCAAGCCTGTGCATGCAGGTAAAGGTAAAGCATAACAATCTCAAGCAACTATTACTTCAGATGCTAGATCAGACAGGGCTGCACAACAGGGGATGCTCAGCTCATGGATAGCAAAACAGACCGCTAATGTCCCTGTTCCTCATTTTCAGGTTGTCATCATTATTTCCTCACCCTGCTTCCACATGGGTGGAAAGCTATTGGGCCAAGGGTGTCCATGTCCCTGTCTTGTCCTGGTACACAGAGTGGTGGCCTTCCTCTAACATTGCCATAGTGTAGAGACATGCACATCGTTCTTCTCACTGTAGCAGTAACAGGGGTGCCAGTAACAGGGACCGGCCCATGACTTCAGGCTGACCCAGATCCCCCAAGGCCCTGGACTGAAGAAGGCTGGAGGTCAGGGTTCTGAGATCTCTACAATATCTGGTAACAGACTCCCTCACTGAAGCCAGCTGGGGTCACATGGAGGTCATGAAGAGAAGCAGGCAATGTGGGGCCCAGGACCCCAGATAATATAAACAGCCGGTCACTGGAGCTTCCACCAGCCTGTGCCTCCCCAGGCTTTCACCGGTGTCACTCAGGCTAACAACAGGACAGCGACAGCTGTCTGGAATTTCCACCTCAGTAGTTCTCAACCTTCCTAATGCTTCGACCCTTTATTACAGTCCCTCATGCTGTGGTGGCTCCCATCCATGAGTTTATTTTCATTGCTACTTCATAACTGTAATTTTGAGAATGTTATGAATCATAATATAAATATCTGTGTTTTATGACAGTCTTAGGCAACCCCTGTTTGCGACCCCCAGGTTGAGAAGCACTGTTCTGGATCCTTCTAGACCACGCCCTATCTGACACTTAGAAGCCCCTGTGCCTATGACAAAGCTTGTGTCCTGACCAGGCTCACCACCCCACCCACACCCACCCCTGCTGACTAGCTAGCATACAGATGCTTGAGGCCCAGAGAGTGATTAGAGAGTATCTAGACGTAGGGTCTGAGTGAGCTGGCCATGTGGGCTGGGACATCGGTGACCAGCTGAGGCCCCTGGCTATGTGAGTTGGAGCCGTGCTGAGGAAAGAGACCTGAAAAGAGGCCTTCCCTGTCTCACGTTTGTTTGTAAGACACGATCTCTCACATAGCCTAGAATAGCCTGGAACTCACCCTGTACCAGGCAGGGGATTGCCTTGAATGTCCCATCCTGTCTCTGCCCCCCCCAAGATGCTGAGATTTCCAGTCCGCTCCCTACTTACTCGGTGCTTTATTGAGTCCAGGGCTTTCCGGATGCTAGGTAAGGGCACCACCAACTGAGCTGCACCCCTAGCAATGCATTTTGCCCTAGAAGGCGGTGAAGAACTCATCTTGACTAAGAGGGTCACATCAGTTTTGCTCAGGACGGGGCTCGGACACCTCCGAGCCTCACACACGCTTCTCCTGTCCTCTTCTGCAGACCGGACGTGGGCCTACTCCTTCTCAGGCGCTGTGCTCTTCTCCATGGGTTTCTTCGTCGGCTTGCTCTGCTATCTAGGCTACAAATACATCACCAAGCCACCAGTACCTCCTAACTCCTTGGTGAGTCACCCACCTGGGACCAGAGAGGAGAGTCTTGAGGGAGATCCTCCAAGTCCCAGAGGACAGGGGAGGCCCTGAGTAGTGCAGAGTTCTGCCTCAAAGCAGATGGGTTTATAAGATGGTCTGGCAGGTTCCAGGGTGTGTGGAGAAGGCAGTGGGATTGTACCGGGGTGCTGGGTGGCTTGAAAGC